AAAATACTTAGTTGCCGCTGTATCCCCACCTACTGTGACTTTTATCAATATATGTTCTAAACAGGAAGTTCAAGTTTTATACAATTTTGATGACTGTTACTAATGACAGGAAGAAAACCCAAGACAGTATTTTCAGCCACAGTAGCTGCTAGAGTAAGTGGTTATGACACGGTAAACTTTGTTAAGTTTTCTCCCAGGTCTGTGTATAACACAGGGTGACCGGTGAGGCCATTCCAGTGTTTCTTAAACATGACATCTGTCATTAATCTTTTTCCCCCTGCTGGGCCAAACTCTCTAACTTAACCCCTCCTGTCATTTTAGCATATGAATACAAATACTCTTTCCTTTCAGGTGGATTTAATCTGAAAACTCTCCTTTACTTTCATTATGCAGCTCCAGTATTAGTAATGACACCTAAAATAAGAGCTATTCTTCAGATTATGACTGCAGCCAATGGCATGTTAAACAGCTAGTGTTTATCTCTGCACCAGACAATATTCAAAATCCTATAATACAAGGAGACCACACAAACCTTCCCTATACTAACAGAGCTTTGCTAGTGAAAGCAAGTTTTGCAAAACTCACAGAGAATTGGCATATTCAGCCCTCGTGGTTATTGTGCAAGTGCAAATGAACCTCCCCTCCCTTCCAGGCTATTTCTAAAAATTCAGATTTTTTTGAGAGAAACTCTACGAGCAAGACTGCACTGCACTGGGCTCCACTCTGCCTGGTTCAAGGGTGAGAAAATCCCATGTTACCTCCATGGGAATCAGAGGGCATGGCCCAGATGCAAGGTCCTCACTAGGTGCCCATGAGGGCAGGACCAGCACTGGCTCCTAGTGTGCCTTAAGGTTTGTGTAATTTGTTTCCATAAAGCTCTAACAGTGTTCAGTAGGGAAATTAAGGGCAGTATCTTTCAAAACTGTGTCATGTATACGTACTGCAATACTCGACATATGCCTAGCATGTGCTATTCAAATAAAACCCACAAATGCCTTACAAGCTCATTCAGAGTCAGAAGTTCAAAATGAGAAAAAAATAAAGGGTAACATTATTTGTAAGATGAAAAGAGTTCACTTTTAAAGCCAAATACAAAAAAAGTTTATTTCATGCAACTTACATGTGTCTAAAATTAGAATGGATGTCCAGATGACTTTTTAATCACAGTGATACTGTATGAAAATCAACTCATATTCAAATTGTATCTCCCAGTGAGATAACAATTTCTAATATGCCGAAAAATCTACCAGCTTGTTAATACAGATCTAAAATAGGAATGAAGCTATTTAAGTCTTTATAAGACATTACATTTGATGAAAATGGCTATTATTAACCTATCATACCTGCAGTACCAGAACAGGGAACAAATTAAGGTACACTTTTGAAATATTAATTGAAAGTACAGTTCACTATTGTGAAATTAAAGCATACGGGTTGTGTATTTTATACAGAAATAGGTGATTTGAGAAAACACAGGAAAAAGCAAAGGATACATCTTTGTAGTAAAAGTTAGAACTTCTTAAATTGTCTAACAGGTTTTAAATGTCAAATGAGTTGCACTAATTTTCATCACATACCAAACCTATAGCAATTAAATCTACTGAGCTGATAAGTATTTTTCATGCCTTTCAAAAGGAAATACTGCCTGGATGAATGGAATGAGGTGAGCTGAAAACTGCCCAAATCTCCAGCCTTGAAGGGCACTGATAAATGGCTTACGCCCCGCTGGCAGCTAGCAACGAGGACAGCCCTGCAGGTGTCAATTTTGTGGCCCGTGTCAATCAACAACTCACCAGTGACCCGGGCAAGGACATAGACTACATGCTAACAAGTTCACAGTTGACATTAAATTAGGAGGATGAGACGGCACGACAAATGGCAGAGCTTCAGTCAGAAGGACATTGCTCGGCTTGAGGACTGGGCCAGAAGACACTTCATGTGGTTCAATAGAAGTGCGAAGGTCTGCACCTGGGGCAGAAAAATCCCATGTTCTGGGAAGGGACGACCGAGCAGCAGCCCTGCTGAAAAGCAGCAGGCACTTACAATGAGTGCCAGGCTGCAAAGGAGCCAACAGTGCGTTCCCCCTGCAACACTGGCAGGGGATGTGGAAAGCCCACTACCACCCGCAACTCAGCTCTGGTGAAATTTCATGGGTTGTCTAAAAATTATAATTTGGATAGAAGCCCCCAGACCTATCCTCTGTTAACCCATTCTCTTTAGAAACAGCACAAAATATGTCATGATGTCCCCCAAGGTTACAGGAAAAATTTAATAAAGGATTTTGCACAGAATCCATAGAATTCTGCACTATAAGAAATTGCTTTACAGTACATCTGCTAGCACTTTTCAATTTCTGATAAGGACTGCAAATATTTGTGATGCATTGTTTTGTGTCTCCTCTACTTACTAACTAACTAACTTAACATTCAGTAGGCTTAAAAAGTGCCTTCAATAGAAAGATTTAGCATATCACAGATAATTTTTTTTTAATTCTAAAATTGTTATTGTTATTTTTCTTTCAATCAGTGTCAAATAAACAATTGGAAAAATAATTAAATCAGTGGTAGGATCTTTAGTGTACACCAAGTATCAGTTTGCATTGCATATAATGGCGTTCAAATAACACTAGCAGAACACTGTAAAACTAAAGACCTTATTTCTGTATTTAAATTAAAAAACAACCTTTAAAAAAATTTGAGGACATGCAGTTTCTATCCCTCAAATGTACTTGCAGTCATACACACATAATGCTTTCTAATATCACGGTGAACTGCACACAAAGACTGGAGCATGATGTGGGCAAATGTTTAATAACATTTTTAAGGAAAGTGACACAGAATAATTAATTGCTATTTTGCACACAATGTGCCAATTTGATTAATAGTGTACTGTCATTAAAGCAAGTAGGATGAAGTTAACCAAATATGATTTAAAAAACCCAAACTTTTTATATATTTTCATATTTTTATAATAACAATTGCAGAACAAAAAAAAATCAGACTAGGTTCAACTAGGAAAGAAAAAGATATCGTTCTTTGAATAATTCAAAATTTTCTTTGGAAGAAATCCTGTTAATCTGCACACAGGTTTTTTTACACCAAATATTCATAAGCAATTCATGAGCATTCACAATTCTTATAAAGTCTACTTAATATTTTCTTTAGGTTTTCATAGTTCTTCCTGATAATAGAACTGTGTGAAGAAATTGGAATTCATTAGTAGCTAGTTGCTCTGCCAGTTGCTTTGCCATACTAACAAGGAGGAGAACTAAATGCATATTAAATAATCAAAGTAATCTCAGTTCTGTAGGGACCTGACTCTGCAAAAAGAAGAAGCATAATCTACTGAGAACTGTTCAAGCAGCTCTGCTGGAAGGATCACATACCTATCTAATAATTTTTTTTAGGTCTCAGTACTAGAATCAATCTTAAATAGAAAAATTCAAGTGCACTATGTACGCTGTGTACATGTAGAAAGAGATACAGTGCATATGCATGACACCTAACCTATTATCAGTGCCTGGATGTATAATACATGCATAAATGGAAGACTAGAACATACCATATGGAATGCAGTTTTTACCTAATAAACTTACTTTTTTTTCCTTTTATTAAAATCTGCCCTCCTACTGTTTAACGTTTCAGAGATTTTCAAATAGAAAGTGCCAAGCCTTCTCCCACATATATTAACCGAGGCTTAGCAACACATAAGAGACTTGGTTCTTAATCAAAAAATATAGAATCACTTTATGAAAAACTGTAAAATATAATTTTGCACAAAAGCTATTTTGGCAACACAAGTAGTAGTTGTTAGCTACAACACATGGGAGCCTCTGCCATACTCTCAAATATAAATTTAGATAGGAAAAGCAGATGGGGGAAAAAACAGAGCCAGTAAAGTAAACAGTGTGTGTGGCAGAAAATAGTTGTATTTACAGTACTGTCCAGCTTCTGGAGAGAAGCCAGAGAGCTTCCCATGAAATCTTTCTGTGCTTTTAACGCTGTTGCAAAGCTTCAGGGAATTCTAATTGTATGAACAGTTACCGGGAAATGAGATTCACTGTGAGACCATGTCTAGCCAGTGGTAAAAGTGATGATCGCATCTCAGCATCAGTCATTTAGAATATGAACTTTCTGACAAGCAATTCGTATGCATTTACCAAAACTGTCTCAAATTCAACCAGTAAGCAGTTTCTTTTCAGTCTGAATATACAGTCAGCTTCCCAAAGCTAAAGCATGTACAGTAGATCTCATTCCTCTGAAATACAGTTAGATGTTTGGTTGTCTTTTGATTTTAAATAATGCAGGTTCTCCAATATTTATATCATGATAAAATTCTAGTGCTTTAAAAATCTGCCCTTCACACAAGCCTAAGCATACATATTTTAAAATTACTTACTGTACATCTTCATATTTTGTTTAAGGCATGAACAATGGCATATGAATGGGAACAGCTTCCGGAAAAGCGAATCTTTTTGACAAAGGCCAGTCCAAGCACATCACACCAAAGGACTAACCTGAAGCCAGAAATGACAGTGTTGTGACCCAAGAGTTTTTAACAAAAATAGTTGAAACAAAATGGATTTTTTTCTCTTTTTCTTCCTCTTTTGTTTTGTGTTTTTTTGTTTGGTGGTTTTTTGTTTGTTTTTTTTTTTGTAATTTAAATTATATTACTCTTAATGTCTGTTTAAAGCACCGGTTGCAGTTTTGCGTTTACCATCTCTCCCGAGTGACTTTGGATAACTCATCTGCTTCTTTTGTTCTGGATTTTCAGCATATGAAACTTTAAAAGGTTTCTGTTTCTTTCTTTTTTTTTTTTCTTTTTTTTTTTTTAATGGCTGCTGCAAAATTAAAAAGATCCAGAAGTGGTCAGGGGCCTGGTCTAATGCACTTTCAAAAGTCCGTTATAAAGATGAAAATAAATGCGAATGATAGGTTTTTCCGTAGACCCACAAACCACGCTTAGCTATAAGAAACATATTGTGCATAGTTATTTTTTTCTTCAGAGTGATATGTTTACTAGATCTACATTCTCAGTTTACCAGAGTACAGGAATTTCTACTTTACTAAAGCCAGGATCCTTTCGCAGTTCCCAGTAGGTGTCATTGGTAACCCAGGCTTCCCTTTGATTAGCGTCGATAACTTTTCTGTAGAAAGGAAAAAAAAAGAGAGAGAAAGAGGGGGAAAAAAAGTTCTGACCATAGATCTCTGCTCTTATGTAATATGAAATCATACTCCATACCTCTCTGATCTAACCCAATACTAAATCTGATTTTATATTTCTAAAGGACACAAGAACAGTCAGGGATTTAACAATAAAAATCAGCCTCTACCTGTGTCAAAAGTGCAAGGTTTAGAAAGCAGCCAAAATCACAAATGTGTTGTCTGATCTGTGTGAACAGGTCTTAGAGCCACATAAAGCCTCTTTGACCATTACAGATTCTGATTACACGCAGGGGATCAACCAAGAGATCTAGCTTGCAGAATGCAAGTCTTTTACCATTTACGTCATTTGTCTCCTCTATATTTTCCTTATCTTCCACTACAAAACTGCATCAAGCATGTTCAATCTTTTCACTTTTGATTTGCCATGCTAAACATCAGGCTATTTGGTAGGACTAGCCCTTGTTTCAGAAGAATGCTTCAAACAAACAAAAACCCCTCCACTCAAAAATAAATTGTAACGTAAGTGTAGATATATATACACTTATATATACATTTTACAGAGAGATATATGTATGTATGACATTGTTTTTCAGGTCACTGTTTATTAGTTTGTTTATGCAATGACGTAAAACAATAACCTAGTTAAATCTCAGATTCTAATATTATACTTCTATTGCACTTCAAAAAACATTGGCTGAGGGGTGCAGCAGGCTTGTATAGCTGTTGCCCCTTGTGAGAAAATGCTCTTTTAAGTATGAAGCTTTAAACTATGTAAAAATTGCTTCAGGCAGAGACCAGGTATCTGATTATTTTTCTTAAAATTGCCATTTTCCAGGCTTTCATGATTAACAGACTACGTTGGTGATAATTCTTGTAGTATTTTGTCCAGTCATACTACAGAAAACAGACTTACTACTGAAATGAATAGACTCACTTAAAAAATTTGGGTACATATTCAATGCTGTTTTCTTCCATGTACCGCCTCCGACCTCTCTGGAGTTCCTCTATTCTTTGTTTCTCAGATGCTGCCGCTTCTACATTTCCTTCCTCCAGAAGCCTGTATGAATAACAGCAGGTCCTATAGCAATCATACAGTGTCTAGGACAAGGGATTTTCTAGTGCCAATCATCACAAAAATCAAGCAGAAGCCAAGCCAAGCCTGTCTGTGTTGTACCCACTTTCAGATCTAGTCATAACCTCATAAAATAAGAATAACCGAGATGTGACTCCCCAGTTACATGTACCTGACCTGTAGCCTAAGGCATACGCTTTCTTTAGTAACTTCAACATATCACAAACATTGAAGTACTTTGAACTGAGATTTAGGAGGGAATTAGTGTTGATTCCATTCATAGCAGGAGGGCAAGACATTTCAGAGCCTGTCTTTCTAGTTTGTTATGAGGAATCCTACCTCTGCCCAAAGATTGCACTATAGCTCTACTATACCAACAAGATGCTTTCTACTTTCCTTCAACTGAGTAAAGCAGAAATTTGATTGCAATACTGAATACCTTCTCTGCTAGCAGAATCCTCCAAAGCTTAGTTCAGACTGTAGTGAAGACATAGACAAAATTCAATACTCAGCCAAACCCAGTCTTAAACCCAGCAATATTAAGAGTATAAATAAACATTCTTGCCTTTGATCTGGCCTGAATCGTGCATCTGTTGTAGGAAGAAGATCTTTCAGTAAAGGATCTAATTCATTGAGCTCAATAGCAAACCTTGTGAAGCCATAATAACGTTCATAATTGGTTGGCATGGAGCCTGTGTGAATATGTATGAGAAAGAAAAAAGCTTTTTAAGCTATTACTTTAAATATGCAAGAGATTAATTTATTTATTAAATTATAACAGCAAAAATATTAATATATTTTACACTTACATATAATTAAAAAGCATCAAAAGCTATTCTCTAGGTGGAACAACATTCACTAAATATTAATTTGAACTGCTTATCCTGTGGAAGTTGTAATTACATGCTAATAGATTCAAAACTTATGATTTTCCTTCCTTTTTACATAAGAACTACTGTTTTCCAGATCTTCAAGTTAAACATAGTTTCCTGTTCCCCAGAAAGTGGGCTTACCAAATGTCTCTATAAAAGCTAACCTTAACTGATCTTCAGAGTTGATTTTGGAACATAACACTCACTTGCAGACTGATTCGGCACTGTCCAACACCTTCAGCACTAACAGCAGTCAGAGTAGACACAGCAGAGAGTAGGGTGCAAAGTAGGGTTGAAAATAGTATCTATACATAGTAGGGTTCGAAATACTAACAATAATGACAATTGCTGGATAATCACTCTGCATGTGTGAAAGATACTACAGATGCAAAAGACGACTAATTCAACCTCAGTGCCTATAAGCAAGCAGTAAGGAAGTTGAAATCAGCTCCTGAAATCACAGGAGCTCGCAGGCCCAGACATCCAATTTTTTTGCTTAAGTTGACCACAAGACCCCAGAGTATTTGACCAGGAGTCAGAGTGAGATGTAGAAGACTATGCCCTGTAAGAACATTTCCATTTACCATTATTATAAACTCATGTAAATTTTTGTTTATTTGTCTAGCCAGAAATTTAATTTCTCCAGTAGTATTTTGTGTATTTAAACTGATGGCTAAAACAGCTCTACATAGTTTAGGGTTACACTACAGTGACTGCCAGAGTTTATTACAAGCTTCTTACCTGGCCTCCATATGCATTTGGCTGAAGGTGCAACCCCACAATAAAGGCCTTCATGCCACTTTCCAAAAAGGCGATGAACCACCTTCCCTTCTTGATCTATCACAACTCCCTGCACCTCATTTACATTTGAATTCCAGTAGTTCACCTGCAAGTTTAACAAAGAATTACTAGTTCACACTGTTTTTCACATTACCCATTGTATCAATACAGCCACTGCATGAATCTTAATATGTGGCACCAACTGTCCAAATTTTGTATTGGAACAGCTCACCTGGAACCAAGAATATCAGAATTGAAAATTCAGATGATCTGAATATTAATTGATTTAGTATATGAGAAACCCTGAATAATTTGATATGTGTTTTGGTATAAAGATATTTAAATTATCTGCACATCTGGGAACTATACTGTTGTTCATTAACCCAAATCCCACCACACAATTCAGCAAAAATGACACTTTGATCGGAGCCAACTAACTCTCTTCTTTCTATATGGAGAAATACTGAATATACCTGTACGTGTAAGGGAATCCTTTGACGGGTGCTGCACACTACTGTTTGCAGCAGGGGAGACATTCAGCCAGTATTACTTGTTATTTGTTGCTTTCTGTTTCTCTTCTTTGCTTTGCTTTTCTTAGACACATTTATTTCTTACACCTTCACCTACTGAGCCAGTTGCCCATTCTCAGAACATCCATCAAAACATGAATTTCAGATTTACGGTAACGCACCACCGCTAACACTGCAATGGTATTGATGTATTTTGTTGCAATATGAAGACAAACTTATTTTTAGGGAAAATAATGGATAGTAACATAGCTATATAGTGATTTGGTTTTATATGTGGTTCTTGTCTGGATATTAAAATACAAAGCAGCATTATTTAATCAAAAGAGAAAAAATATTGACTGCCAAATTCTAGTAAAGGCAGAAGTAAAATGGCACAGAAGTCTAAAGTGACTTTGTGTTTTCATTGTGGTAATACAAAAGAAATTATTCATTCTTAACCTAAAACCAACAACAGTATAGCACACACCTATACGGCAATGCAACATTCTGATATCAGATGTTCAATGGAATGGAGTCATACTACTCAACATAGCACTCTCATTTGACAATTTACATATTTATGAACGTTGATAAGACATAATGTGGAATGTGGATTTCAGGAATACTAAATAAACTGCTTGAGGTATGCTTGAACTATGCAGTTTTATGAATATGATATGTATTAGAATACATATGTTACCTTGACAAATGTGAGTTTACAAATACAAACACTGCTTTTTGTGTTTCTGATAGTTATCTCTCCATAGTGTTCTATCCACCTCCTTCCACTAAGAATATTATGTATGCAAGTAGTGACTTTGTTCCAGACATAGTAGTCTCCATACCTAAGAACAGATTAACAAGTGGTAACATACATTAACCATGATCATTAGGACAAAAAAAGTAAAACATAGCTCCATTATCATAAATAAAAGACCATATTCCTCAAAAACTTTTGAAACAATAGCTTACTTTATTAAAGCACTGGTTCTGGGTACATTACTAATCCTCCATAGAGGAGCTCACCTAAACTCTAGTGCAGAGACCTGAAGAATGGTGCTATGAACCACACATCAAGCCATTGTGAATCACCAAAGCCCTGCATAGCATATTCACTGTCCTCAGAGCATTAACTGCTTTGGCCACATTTCCTCTAGGGGAAGGAGAGTGACCCAACGATCAACATAAGGCTGAATTGAGGCTATAAGCAGACAAGGTAATTAAATTACAAATATGGGAAGGAGGTAACAGAAAGGAAGTAGGAAGCAGGAGCTCACTGGCACGTCATCCCTTTCCCTCTGTAACTACTCAGAGTCAGAGCATCTCTGTTGTCAAACAAGGGAATAAAATGAGGGAATTATATTGTGCAAAGCACATTCTCCTTCAGAGCTAAGGGGCAAGCATGAGGACAGAAGACAAAGATGCTCCTGAGTGCATTTACTTCAATTTCATGAGATGGATAAAGAAGTGGAGTGATGTCATGCTGTTAGAGGCAGAAAGAAAGGCTGGGTGCAATGTACAGGAGCAGGAATAGTACTGCAAAACCAGCAGACGTTTAAAGTATCCTCTCCTTGCATATTCTCAGGGTTTACGACTTGCAACTACTCTTAACTGCAGCGAAACTTCTTCTTCTCATTACTCTTTCAACATCTGAAGAACACGTTCTGGCTTAACTACATTTTGGAAAATGACCTTACATTACTAGCAGTTGTTCTGAGGGAACACTTAGCAGTATTGAGAGCCTTAGTTAGCACATCGCTAGCTGCTGACAGTCCTATATTGCAGCCTTGTTCTGAACAGTTGATTGTTACTGTACATGTAAAACTTGGGTTCTCTCTCCTAAAACATTTCTATTCCCCTCTGTCTACCGCTTTCTAGAGAGTTTGTATATTTTCCCTCCAAAAACCCAAATGGATCTTCAGGCTCAAAAATGTTTCAGTGTCCCCACCTGTACACTAAGGAGAGATGTGAGCTACGCACTACTCTCACCAGTACAAATCATGTGATGTCTGCATACACTTCCCCCAATCCATTCACAAGGCAGCACAGATTGCAGCAAAGACTGAAAACAAAAGGAAATAGGACAGTAGCTTACTTTGGAAGAGTCACATTCAAGGTTCCAACTGGCAGAATTTCCATTGATTTCCCCCAGAATTTGTTTTTCCACCTGATATCTGAATATAATAGTGAAAGATTTACAAAACTGAAAAGACCAAAGTCTCCTCCTTGCAGTGATCTGCGTGTCACACAAGATGCTCTATGCTAGACTACCCAGTTTAAAACAGGACAGTATGAGGCTGTCATGAAAATACAAAAGAAAAAAAATACTAGAAAATGACATTAGGCCAGAAAAACTAAAGATAAGTTTGATTTTTTTCTAGGAGTCATGGCTGTGCTACATTATTGTCAAAGCTCTCATGAAAACATTCAATAGAAATTAAATGTATATGTCAGTAGATACAAAGAAAGAGCTGCTTGTTCAACTGTGTAAAAAGAACTGCTTGTGTTTGTAAGAAATAATAATTTTCTTGGTAAAAAAGCTTCTAACCAGAAAAGTATAAACAGACTGCAAGTGACAAGGGAAGTTATAACATGTCTGCTGACTCTTAAGAATAAGAATTTGGAGGGAAGTAATTCAGAGCATCAGTTTGTAATATGTTACTACAAAAATAATAAGTATAGAAATTGAGTAAGTTCCAAATGCAAAGCTCAGCTTGTACAGACAAAGTTTTTACTTCCTAATAAAAAAGGAGTTTATGGTTTTGAATTAAAAAAGTATACCTTGCCAAAACACAAAGTTCTTCGATTCACAGTGACAGGCCGAAATGGGAGGATGGTGGCTAACCTGGAAAACAGTTTGACTGAGTTAAAAACAGTTCATTTTCATTTCTAAGACAATACAATTGTTACTGCAATATGAAAATACTAAATAGCCCACACTATTTTTTAGCCTATGTTGCTATGAAAACAGATGCAACTTGTTTGTACTTGAAATGCTATGTACTTAAACCACTTCCTTGTGATTACTATAAAAATATATACCTTCTAGCATTTAACAAAGTTCATTCATACTAACAACCTTTTCATACTATTAAGAGAGCAAACCATTCTAACTAGAAAGAAAAAACAAGATTACTCTATAAAACAAAGAAACCAAAAGCTAAATCTAAACAGGAGTGTCTATCTAGAAACAAGCTTTACCTGCTCTGAGAAAAATCGAAATCCTTTGTCTTCTCTAATACATTCATAAGTTTCACCAAGCACTGGGTTAAATGGCTTGCTTCCTGCTCTAAAGTATGTAGAGGCATAGCCTGATGCTGCAAAAGCAGCTATGAGAACCTGTGAAAATAAAGACAAGAACATAAGCAAGTATAGGCAGACATTCTTGTGTATCACTACGTGGCATCCCACAACTCACTCCAGTCAAAGTGAAATCTGGATTAATGAGGCATGCCTGAGAGTGAAGCCATACATCCCAACCAGAACTAATATAAACTGTATTTCTTTTGTTGATATAATTTGTTTTTCTTCATGGCCTCAGTCAGTCTCTTTGAACAGTCCCCTAAAAATAACAATCTGCACAAGATACTGTTCTTCTACCTTTGACCAGGTTTATCAATAATGATCGAAAACACAGACCCAGCTCTAGTCTATGCTCCTTGTGAACAAATACTATATGATAACTTCTGATGACAAGATAACATACCATTTTCCTATGGGAACTATTTTATTTGGTGCCAAACATAAATGGCTCTCACTTAAGATGTCCTTAATGCAGAGTTATCTCAGGATCTTCCATGCATGTGCGGCCTTATCAGCCCCCTTGTCTACATGTACAACCAAAATTTAGTAATCTCTAAACCAGGCCTAGCTGGGAGTAATAAACTAAGTGACATGCCACGGTAATGTAGATTACAGCTCCCTTCAGCAGAGTTTAAAAAAAAAAAAATCACAACAGGCACTCAGAAGTTGAAACAAAACTTCAGAAAAGCAATATGGGGATAAAAACCACTCACCTATGCATTATCTGCTAACAGTGGGGCGAACCTTAACCAGGTCCCCCTTGCCTCACGCTAGCAAGGTCATAACACTCGTAAGCTTTTTACATGCTTTGTTTTCATCCCACTGTGTAATGAGTGCTCCATTCTCTATTCACTTCATATTATTCATAAATACAGCATCAACAGAATTAATGCTCTTTTCATGGGCTGTTCTTCAACAGTGTCCTGGTTTCAGCTGGGATAGAGTTAACTGTCCTCCTAGCAGCTGGTACAGTGCAATGTTTTGAGTTCAGTATCTGAAGAATGTTGATAACACTGATGTTTTCAGTTGTTGCTAAGTATGGTTTAGATTAAAGTCAAGGATTTTTCAGCTTCTCATGCCCAGCCAGCGAGAAAGCTGGAGGGGCACAAGAAGTTGGCACAGGACACAGCCAGGGCACCTGACTCAAACTGGCTAACAGGGTATTCCATACCATGTGATATCCCATCCAGTATACGAACTGGGAAGTGGGGGGTGGGAATCGCCGCTCGGGGACTAGCGGGGTGTCGGTCGGCGGGTGGTGAGCAATTGCACTGCGCATCATTTGTACATTCCAATCCTTTCATTATTGCTGTTGTCATTTTATTAGTGTTATCATTATCATTATTAGTTTCTTCTTTTCCGTTCTATTAAACCGTTCTTATCTCAACCCACGAGTTTTACTTCTTTTTCTGATTTTCTCCCCCATCCCACTGGGTGGGGAGGGAGTGAGAGAGTGGCTGCGTGGTGCTTAGTTGCTGGCTGGGGTTAAACCACCACAAACAGTAAAAACCTTCATTCTTCCAAAACCTTTTTCATGAATTTAACTATAATACACTACAGAGAAATGAGGGGGTTTACTATCCTTATGACATATAGAGCAATGAGAAGAAAAAAGTTTCCACTACTTTTGGATGCTTATTTAAGATAGCAAAGTCCTGATTTTTCAAAGAACAGCAAAGAAGCAGGTAACATATTCACAGTACTGCTACTACCACTGATGCTTTGGGTATTCAGGACTTTTGCCAAGCAGGCCCACGTGCCTTGGCCTGGGTGTGCACTTTGCATTTTTAAGGTACTTGTTAAAAGTTTGGTTTGTATCCTCAGATAGGGGATCGAGAAGGGGATTGAATCCGTGTTTCCGAAGAAGCTTTCGGTTGCACCATGGCTTTTCCTTCCTGAACTCTCCTGACTCCTTCAATACTCACCTTCCAAGCTTTTCAACAAAACAGGCAGAGTCCTACAGGCAAACAGCCTGCTTTACTCAGTACAACCTTGCCCAGTCCTTATAGGATCTCCCTTTTGTGAGGGACATAAGGAGTCTTGTAGGAAAACAGCATGCAATGACAAATAATTCAACCCCCTATAATAAGACAGGTCCAACTTCTTCAGTGGCAAGGAAAACATACCAATGTTCAGGACCCCTCGCTCTCCTGCAGGCCATGTAAATGTGGCAGTTCATGCACCTGAGCGCATGGCTATATGACAGCCACAGGCAACCTCTCTTCTCCCAGTTATCCACAGTGCTGTCAACCCGTACTAGGGAACAGTAGATATGTTCGTCAACAACACTGCCAAATTTCCCTAACAGCCTTTCCCTGTTTCTTCTGAAGAAAAGGAGACATGACAGATCAAAGCACCCTGAGTCCTGAACACAGGCTGTTGGCTGTCAGTTAAAAAACAAAGACATACTTACAGGGCAGTTGAAGTCAGGCTGCCCAAGCAAACCATTTTGGTGGTTTGGAACTTCTCTATTAGAAATTGCCTAGGATGACATCTTATTGACATCTACATTGATCATAAGCCAGCCACAGACTTGATTAGCTCTTAGAGGCTACTGGAATTGATCACTGAAAGCCAGGAAAGGATGCTGCAGGATTAGAAACTGCCAATGCCTACATATATGGTCCTAGAGAGTGAGATCAGTCTTCACATCAATGAGTCACAATTGCAGGACTTGGTTTAAAGTCACGAAAAGTCCCTCAGCCGTGTTCAGATAAAACCTACCACCTCTAATTGTTCATAGCATTCATTTGACCCAGCAGGGAGGTCTGTTGTCTGTGAACAGGAAGAGCAAGACAGGACCCTGCACAGACCTCCACTCAACAGCTCCCTTTTTAATACAGACATAAGAAGTGCTACACTAGATTTATTACCATGCGTTCATAAGGATCATCTGTTTCAGCAGCCTTGTCCAAGAGTTCACTGTATTCCAGCTCTTCACAAAGATGTTGTAAGGTATTCAGAGGTTCATTTAGCTCAACTGGCATGGATACTTTGGAAAGATCTTTGCCAATGTTATTTCTCAAAATATTCCACAGATTGATGTTACTGGTGTCAGGGCTGGGAGCTGGGAGACAAGTTCTCCGTCCATTCCTGAATGCACCTCCTGTTAGCTCACCATTAAGAACTGGGAAGGGACAAAATATTATCATAAGAAAGCGCTAGATTAAGAAAAACAGACCACCAGAACAAGCAAGCCCAACTTCACTGATTTCAGCTGAGTTGGTCTTGTACAGACATGCAGTAAATCTGGTACACGAACAAAACCAAAATAATTTTCCAAAGTTTAAAAATAGCAGTATACTTTGCCGAGAAATGTTGTCCGCAACACTGGTGTTGTCCTCAGATATATTATCACTCACATCACTGATATAAGATTCATCATCAGAAGCCTAAAACATAAATAAAATATCACCTAAGTCAAATACATATAAAATATACCAACAAATTAGACAAATATAATTGAAACACAAATATTCAAAGAAATCATCTCTACTCAGTTAGAGCTTTCAACTAAATCAACTGGATGTTTCAATCAGCCCATACTGCCAATGCACTAAATGTGTCAAAACAAATGCTATGCTCTCCTTATGTTTCTGAATTCCTTAATACGAAGCCAAATACAGGCATTAAATTTGCAAAAGGGTGACCTCAGATGAGACCAGAGATGAACAAAAAATGGACAACATAATGCGCTGGGGATGGGAGGTGAGAAGAGACAGACAGATTTGTGCTCTTTATAAAGAGCCAAACAATAAAACCAGCTTGTGTTTCAGCAAAAAATTATATAAACATTGACCTATAATTTTGCAAAACAAGAACTACATCACTGTCTTAAAATTTTTTTTTTCAGAAATATTACTTTCAAAATAATTTACCATATTTACTGATAACAGAGTATTTATTATAAGGCCTATACCATTTTGGGGTGACTTTGTAAAGTTTGCATTTTGTTTATACCAGACACACCGATTTTCCATGCTGATATAGACAATCCAGACTATTGAGATAACATGTACTTTACACCTGCCAGAAGCAATAAGATAAGGAACCAATCCATTCTTTAGATGAACAACTCTAGCTGTGGTTGTGCCAACTCGTGGGACATGAGCAATCCTTGTCAAAAAGAAAACATGGTGGAACACTCTTATTTCCTCTTACAGAAGAGTTGTGGTAGACCACAGCACTACTGTGGCTTTATAAAAAGATATTTTTAAAAAATAAATAAATTTTAAAAATTGAAGAATTTATTCAGGATAGCACAGGAAAGCTGTGGACAGAAGCATGATTCAGGAGCCTGAACTGTATCTGATGGCTTCAACTTTGAGCCTGAGTGAGCCAATTTTTCAGGCTTTTGTCTACTTCTCTGATTATAGAGAATAACTTTATATGTATACTAGATGACTTTTTTTTTAAAGAATATTTTAAAATCTGTATTAGTTGACGGCATACTCAGACATAATTGCTCCTGTCTATGTCATCCTTACCTGAAACTTTCATAGTCTAGCAAGGACAGATACTGAACATAAGCTACTGACACAAACAACTTTCAACTCAGTTTTACACTTCAGGGAACTTCTGCACTCCATCACAAGTGAGTCGCAGGTTCATTTACCTACACCTTACACATTCTGATACCTTTTTATTCTAAGTATCATTATTAAAAAACAAAACAAAACATTCACTAGTGGTAGCAATACCTAAATCTGTCCAACAGCAAAGCTGCAGCATGCTGCCATAGCCTACCTCGTTTTCTGACGAGCTGGCAGATAGAAGCACTTCCTGTGCATCAAAGAACTCTGAAACAGATTCAGACATAGAGAGCCTGCTCTCATTAGAAACTTGCTGAGACAGTGGCAAACTGACATGAATTTGTTCACCTGTCTGTAAATAAAGCACAGAAAAATAAAAGTATTATTTCTAATATAAAAGAAATATGCATAGAAGGGGTAAATCACCCGAATAATTTTTCTATGCCAAATATAACCACAGGTAGTAAAGACAGCATTTTAGTAGGGCTTTGTGTGTACCTAACAGATGAGACTTTGACAAATTACAAAATAAAGTGCATTTTGAGCAGTGAGATATATGTCTTCGAGGCCTGCTCAGCATCAACTGCTAAGTTTTAGCAGCACGAATAATCACAGATCTAGTTCTGTATCCAGAGGAATGATTTTGTGGACAATAGTTGGATTGTGTCAGACAAATTCAGCCATGAAATTCAGATGAAAAGACACCAGGTCATAACAAATTACATCACTGGAAGCTAGCTTTGATACAACCAAAACTCAAATATAAAGCTTTATAAGGTCAGGGAGTTATAAGTTACTTTCAAAATAAATGCGCTTGTGAACCAGTTTAGTAACAAATGTTTGAAATGTCTGAATATTCAGGAGTATGGCTATAATATATATTTATGTGCTTTGATTCCGTGTTTGTACTTCAAAACTCATTCAAATGATGCCATTAACACTGACTCAATACTACTAAAGGGAATGAACTCTCTATGGTTTATTATAAAGAGAATTTAACAGCAAAGGCAAGGGTTCAAAACTGTGTAATGTTTATATCAGTAGGGGGGCAAGCTAATTTAAATAGTGGAACATATATTCCTCTTCCTGCTACTGATGGGAGGAACACCAGGTTTCAACATGTTACCCTACAGGTTGTCATTTTAAGAAGGGAGGAAAACAAGATTCTCTCCCTGTACCATTCCACCAAAGGAGCTGCTGCTGTGCAGGGAAACAGGCTTTTGACTTAATCCCTTAATTTATATAGCATGTTGCTTCTGGGAGATAATACACATGAAACTACCAAAGCCCTTCTAAACACAGTTAACTCTTCAGATTGCAACTCCATCCCCATTAATCCTACTACAAAAGTCCTGCAAATAGTTTTGTTGGCATCTTAATCCTGTAGAATTATTCTATATAGTTGCCTCAAAATGCACTAACCAAAAAAAAAAAAAAAAAAAAAAAAAAATCAATCATAAACTAGCCAAGAGGTCAAAAACCATTCCTTTTTCACTGGGGCTTATAAGCTTGTAGATGGTTTATGATGTTTGATGAATTATCATGGAAACAGAAGCTCATTTCACTGTTATCTTTACAGGAAGTGATTGAAATTTTAAGTTTTTGTATTAACTAGAGGGACTTGGAAAAATACACATGCCCCTACCTGAAAAAGATGCTCACACAGGCATTATCTACACACTGCAAGATTATACATATAAAGCAATCAAGAGGAGTGAATGAGAGATCTGGGAACTTTGAAAAACTTCTTCAGTCAGACACACTTGCACCAAGATAATGATGTACATATGGAAAAGAAACAGCTAACCAAGAAAAAACACAAAATAGAAAAGATGGTCATTGCTCAGAACTTCACTGCAGATTGCTGTGCTGTGGCACCACTTCACCTCTATCTTCTGTTGCTAGTCTCCAACGTGCTGGACTCTTGGAAAAATTGTTTGGACATTTTCAAAAAGCAAATAAACGAAAGTAATTGGAAACATTTTTTCACTTTCCTTTCTTGTTGGAAGAAATAATTAGGACACAAAAGTATGTTAATTGAAATGCCATGTGCATAGAAAAAAACAAGTGGAAATGACAAATGAAAAATATTTTGGTAAAATGCAAGCCGTATGGCTGTCAAAGTGACCACATTAATTGTAACATATTACAGCTCGCAAATTCAGATTTGTTCTTCTCATGATGGAAGCTGACTTGTTACTAACACAAATTTCCAGTAATCTGCTGACTGAGGAAAGCAAAACAAGGAAGACTAGATGTTGCAAACATGGTATTAATATAGTGCTTGGTTCATAGACTGAACCTTTTGATTTCAGCAGTGCCACTCAAGATATTAAACATCAGGCCATTTAAGCACTTGCAGGATCAGGCCATTAAATACTGTTCTGTTGATCTGGCAAGAAACTAAGATACAGAATTGGTTAGCTACTGTGTGTTACATTCAAATACAGTAAAACCTCACTAATTCCCACAGCCAACAATTAATATTCCAAAACTGGAGTCCTTCCCTGTTTCTCTGCAGAGACCAAACTGAGCTCTTTCATGAGATCTGACATATGCAAAATAAAAGACAGAAGTTTTATTTTATGTAAGGAAAAATATAATCTGACTTTTTCTACAAATGAACATTTGCCAATCTGAAAAATTCTGTAATTTGCCAGATGCATTTCAGCTATTAGTGAGAATTAGCAAGGTTTGATTGTACTCTAAATCCATTAAAGGCCAAAGTCTTACCTCATCAGGACTAGGGATAATATTTACACTGACAACCTGATCACAAATAACAGATTCTGAATGTATTCTGTTCAAGCGACTCCTTAGTTCAGCATTCTGGTTGAGAGCCTTAAAATAAAAATTGCACATTTCATTTAAAATTAAAAAGTAAGTGTTAAACAGCAAAAAAAAAAAAAAGAAAAAAAAAGAAAAAAAAAGTAGCTTCTTCCCAGCAATTTCCTAAGAAATCACAGAACCTCCCTTCTTCTTTTTATAGAGATACTTGTTTTGAGATCCCCTCTAAAATGATTTAATCTTTTGGCTGGTTTGCCTTCAGTGATTTTCAGGGGGCAGGGGGTACAGATATTCTCCCACAACATAACAGCAGCATTGTACCATAATTCTTCAGATAGCTCTTTGGCAGGTATACTGGTGGGTACAGTACGGAAATGGGGAGTGAATGCAGCAAGAAAGAATGAAACTGCAGAACAACAAATGGGAACTACCCGCAAAATGCCCAAAGAGGCAATTCTTGGTTTACAATTATACAGCCCTTTCTGAACCAAGGTTATCAGCACTTAGAGCCTGCAAAAGGAAATTGCTTCCTTTCCAGCAAAACCAACATAATTGCTAGTATCATTGGGTGTTTGCCCATCTGATCAATTTGATATATTTGCATATGTGTACTCATTTCAAACTACTGATCCACTAGAGTGGTATCTGCTGATTTTTCTCCTTTTTTAAAGCCCAACCCAGATGATAAATTTGGGTGCATATATACATATTGTCTGTTATCTAGAAAGACTCATGTGCAAGATTCTGAAATCCAGAAAAAGTGTAATATGTTACATACCTAGAACATGAACTGACTTAACCCTAATATATCCCCATTACTGAGGGATATGGAAGGGAACAACAGACAGACATACTGTTTTAGTAGAAAATGACTGTTACAATGGAGTAAGAATCTTCTTCTGCCTCCCCCTAGTGTAGACTCAAGAATAGATTGCATGAATGTACCAAAACAAAGTAGGACCAAAGTAAAATAGGTTAGCTTAAACTGTCACTAAACAGTTTGAGTGACCCCATTTTGCTTTGTTCTTAAACAGTCTGGGCATGTTCGCAGTTGCCATCTACCAGGAAGGGAAGGTGACAACTAACAGCAGGCTGGCAGTAGCTTCTTAAATTGCTCAAACCTGGTCATGAGACTGGTTGAACCCAACCATCTCACTAAGGTCAAATTTCCACTTATTCCCCATTGAGACTATGAACTAATGTGTAACAGTGACTTTTAGACTGACACTGGAGGCTAGGAACAAGAAGAAAACATGATCACCTATTTCATACAACTTGCTAATAAGTCTCCACAGGTCTTAGTTAACTTTGTATCAATAACCAGAAATGGTTACCCTTACTCTTGTCCTTAACCTTTCTTTATTACAACACACAGTAATCAATCTGCGTAACACGATATGCATCTCTATCTATAGAAACATGCATCAATTTTAATCTCATAGCAAAAACCTCCAACCCAATAATAACAACAGTGTATGAAATTATATACACATTTGGGTGAAGTTCTGTTTGCCTTTAAACTTCTGCTGGCATTTCTTGCAGATGCAGTACTCCATACCAATCCGTTCTTCAGAGTAAAAGCTTTTCTGTTTTCTTGACAATGAATTAAAAAATTTGAGTTATTTTGCAACCTGAGGACTTACTGTCGCTTTACTTGTTTTTCCCCACTAAGGTTAGTGACAATTTTTCCTTTGGCTTAAGTGAGAGAGATGCTGGACAGTAACAGGTGTGTAGCTGAAAATCCAATTTACCCATAATTGTCCTGTAACCCATGATTCCTTTTGCAGTTAGAGACATGGACATATAAAACAAATCTGAAAATATACAGTAAAAATTTAAAACTTAATTAAGAAAACAAGAATATCTCCTTGGCTGTGCTGGAAACAGCTCCAGGAAAGATATCTAGCATTTCTATAAAAACATTTGATCCTTTTTCTTTACTTCCGAAAACCGTAACAGATACATGCTTACACAAACAAATGATATCCTTCACCTCCACATGCATTTAGGTTAGACCTATGTCATAACAGAACATATGTCATAGTTCTGTCATGAACTTGGCTTTTTTTTGGCTCTTTCTACCTCAGGAAATATCCAAAATATAAAAGACACCGCATCTGGCAAGCTAGATGTGCTTGAAATCAAATCAAGAACATACCTGTGAAAGGGACCGTCTGAGGTGTGCTATTTGAGCATTGTGGCCTGTAAGATCCTGCTCTGAAACAATCTGCTTAAGCTTCTCCTTCTCTATAGCTATGCTGTTAAAGGCAGACTTCAAAAGAGAATGTACTAAGCAAAAAGAAAAAAGAAAACAAGTGTTTTCTCAGTTACAGAACTGCACATTGACATCTATTACAATATTTCAGCAATAAAGAGAGTGTGAGATTTCCATCCCACAGTTAGGGAAATTTGAAACAAGGATCTGAACTTCAAGTGATCCATGCCCAAATAAGTACAAACACTTACAGCTCGAGGTTGTAAGGTGCATACTGTATGTTCATACATATGTCATCTGAGCATATTTTTGGTGCTGAACGTATAGACAGATGCGTGTTTGGAAAACCTGTGCCCAGAGTGTGTTCTTTTCTTTCTGTTTTTTTATTTTTCTCTTCAGAGTAACAAAAAATCAGTTCTGCTAAGACTTAATATTGCACTAATAAAGAGGATTACTTGGTCTTTAAACAGGTTTTTGACATTTTTTAAGATATCAGTCTCATGTTTTTCCTATATTTGCTATATAACAGATAGCGAACTGATAACAGACCCTTTTAAAAATAGTATTTTTGAGTCTGTAGGACCATTCATTTATTGGCAATAAAATGGCATTTCTAAAGTACATTCTAGTAATAAGCTCTTCTGTTGTTTCCACTGATGTAGAAAACATTGCACAAAAATGAACTGGACATTATATGTAGCAGTGACATTCTGATTCATGTCTGGGGAGAGATAAACCATTTTATTGAGAAACAATATGTTTGCAAATTCAGTCACAAGATGCAGAAGTAGTTCAGAAGACTTCTAAAAAAAAATTTCTTACCAGTTTACCTATCTCTAGATTCATGACATCCATGGAAAATGTAAGAAGGATAATACATGTTATCTTTATGTAAGCCCCTGACCAGCTGAAATTTCTTATACAGTATCATCTAAGCAGACAGATGCCCTGGCCATAACTAAGTGAAGGCAATAAAGAAACATAACAGAGAAGCGCAATAAGGGAAGGGCTTGACATTTCCAGTTACCTTTTTGTGCCATCAGGCAGAATTCTTCTTGAAGTTTCATGTACTCAGTAGAGCACTCCAGAGGGTCCGTTACATGGCTTGGGGGAGTCTGAAACTCAATGTCTGCGCAAAGGTTGGGATTAGATGAATGCAGTCGAACGGGTGACATTGTAGCACTGAAAGGGACCTACAGAGAGAAACAGTGAAGAAGTACTGTATAAGGTGCAACCAACCTTCGGACTCTGTTGAAGCAAAATACAAATTTCTTCTGAAGACAAAAGACTTGGTTCACAATGTGAAGAACATGGTAAAAGTGAACACGTAACTTTTTACTTTCCTATATCTCAGCACAGCTGATGCAGAATTCCCTTTTGAGATTTTTCACTGAAACAGACAAAAGGCGGCCTAAATACATAGCTAACAGCTAATGATGGAGCATTTCAATTCTAACATTTACAAAAATGGACCATTTCATAATGCTTAAAAGATGACTGGAAAATTAAACCATGACACATACTGCTTTATATTTGGACATTTGAGAGTACATGTAGTATGACTGTTGCTACAATACCAACATTTGAAGTATGCAAGCTCCTCCACAGATCTAGAAATAAGATATATTATTATCAAATACAGCATAGAAGTTTTTCAAAACTACTGGTAAGTCTTGAGTTGAAACTCAGTGTACGGGCAACTACGAAGACGGAAAAAGCATATAGTCTTTCTATAGTCTTTCTAACTAAACAAATAAACAACAACACCCCCAAAAAATCAAAACTGCACCTGATTTTCATTTACTGTAATACTTTTCAGGTAATAAAAACATATATGCAAATCTTTATAAATATATACATGTATCATGTGTATTGAACAGTTACCTACTTGCCACATATACAGTGTATGGCTGCCACTGTTATATATGTGAAGTGTGTGTCTGTGAGTGTATGTTGTATTTTATTTTAATTTTACCATTTAAACACATTTGTATAAAAATCAAGCCAAGAACCTAATTTTCAAATATAAATGCAAAGAAAAGGCATGCAGAACTACATTTTGTTACTTAAATATTAAGCACTGTTAAACACATTGAACACATTAAATCTAATTTATTACATTACATTGATGAAATGTATAAATCAAGAATTTTCACACTGCAGCCCAATGTTAATTATTCAAATATGAAAAATGGGGCCAAAATATAAAATGTGTCTTCTGAGGCATGATAAAGAGCAGCAGATAACATAAAAAGTCATATTACTAAAAATTTTTATCAACAGATAAGTTCTATACTACCATCAGTATTTGAAATTGGTACCTTGTTATTTGATTAGATCAGCGAATAGTTTTATCAATACCTTCCTGTAAAAGTTGCCATCAATCTATGTTTTAGGTTTCTGATTCACCAATACAACCCTCAAAATCCTGTTGGATCTATTCATCATATCTCATTCCACTCATGAGCATAATCTGCAAAATACCAACTTCCATCCTGTTCTTCCTCAATTTCCAGATACATATTGCACATAAAATAATAGGTCTATGGCACCTATCCAGTATAAACTTTATTCTCTCATGTATTTTGATTTCCAGCTATATCAACAAAGTAGGCATTTTTTATTGGACCTCATTTTTACCTCATATCAAGGGGACTTCATTAACAGGAGATGTAGAATAAATTCCTTCCGTTCGTACTGGATATTTACCCCATTATCTTCTTCACGAGAACCAGACTGCCTCTCTCAACAGCCCAACAAAACTAGGTTAACTGACTAATGTGACTAAATGTATGTTCATTTCAGGTTTCCTTTACAAAACCTTTTCAATTCTTAAATCGGAGAGCATGTTCCCAGAATTTTCTGACTGGGAGCACCACAAAGGTTCAATTGCTCCAGGTGGCTCCCAGAGGGCAGAGGAGGTGGCTGCATGATAGCTCTGTGTGTGGGGAGCACGTATCCAACCCTAAGGCCCATGCAGAAGGCAGGAAAGAAAGCTGATCCTGGCTGTAATGAAGGATCTTGAGGGAGAGTCCCCACAGTCCCAAGTGCCTGTGGTGATGGGGCAGGTTGCCCCAGCCCCACATAGACTGGCAGAGCTGCAGGCAGGCTGCCCACACATGGTGAGGGCTTTTTAGTCACTTTGTGATGAACCTAGCTGAAGAGACCTGCTTTAGATCCATCATTTCTGCCTCATACCTCAGCTGGCCAGGCTGAAAAACAATGTTTCTGCAGTGAGGTTTATTGGAAAAATAACCTTTCAAGGTGTGTCCTAGAAACAGCATTTACATGTTCTACAAATACTGTCATACTGCTTCCAAGAAATACACATTCACATGACAGAGACAACTAGGTGCTTTGCCGACTGCTTTAAATACAAGAACCAAAAATACTGAACTGTTAACTGACGTGAACTCTCCTCATACGCATCTTTTAGAAAAGTTTCCAAGCTACTTCCCACAACAGATGAAAAAATCCACATTGAACAAACTCTTTCATTCTTCTGAATAGGCAACAGTCCAAGAAACACTGCCAACATACTTCTCTTCCCCTTTTTTCCTTTCACTCCTGTGCTTTCTCTCTATATCCATGGTGACTTGATTCTGACTTTATTAGTCATCTTTTTTTGGTTGGTTTTTTTGTTGTTGTTGTTTTGGAGGATTTTTTAAAAATATTTAGCTTCTTGATGCATCACTCTGGTTTCTTCCATACACACACTCTGCCAGACATGATCTCAGATGTACCTTGTCCTGACTTTCTGCTTTACGCCAGGGACGTAACACACACTCATCCATCACCTTCTTCAGAACTACATGTTCACAGAGGAACTGACTGTTCCTGGTAGAGTGGTTTGTAAGGAAAACCTCCTCTTTCTGCCATGCATTTAACTGATGCAATTCTGTATCCCTCAGTCTATACACACAGCTTCACTGTCTGGAAGAGACAAGCACTTTGCTGCATCAGCCATAAGACCGGGCCATTGCCACGACCACTGCAACAGCTGCAGAGTCATTTTGGTGCCTCTCGTTTTCCTTCCTCCTGCGCTTCTTCCAGCTCCTGCAAGACCTCCCTCAACAGGTCTTCACTTCAGCTGCAGGTAACAACTCAGCAATTCCCTGGACTCCTACTGTCTTGCAATCTAAGTCCAGCTATGTTTCCCCCACTTAAATACTCCTTGGTACGGCTCTTGCCAATGTTGTTTAATTACTACTGAACCTACTGGTTAGAGCGTCCCACTGACACTACTCAGCCACATAAACTGCAAAGCAGGTTGATTTCTCTGCTAGGCAGGCAGACCGATGAGGTTGGAATACCAGTCAATTATTTAGCACAGCATTCAGCATCAACTGATTACAGGGTATTAAATTTAGATGAGTTAATTTGGGAACTGGAGGAACACTGATTTCTCTCATGCTTTTTAGGAGGGCCTAACAGTAACTGAGTTTTGTGGTTCAGGTAGCAGGAGTTCAAGGTATTCAGGCTTAAGCAGAAGCTATGTCTGATCTAGGGGATTTTAGCCATGGGCTGGAGCAGCAGACCCTGGAATACTTTAGCCTGGTGAAGACATTCACTGCTTGGGCTAAGTAAGGGGTATGGATTTAAAGTTCACTTCTATCTTTGGCTGCTCAGAGTCTTCCCTACCTGCTTTCATAGCTCCAGATTTTGTGTCAAAGACTTAGAGAATTAGCAAGACTAAATACAGACACTAGAGGTAGTAATATGACTTTTTGGGATTATGGAATGTAAACAGAAAGTGTCTCAAATGAAAAGGCTAACCTTATGCTACTTAAAAAAAAAAAAAAAGGAAAAAAAAAAAACCAGGAAATTTTATAATTCCATGCTTGTTTGTAACAAATCTCCTTGGTTCTGCTGTCTTGCTATAGACTGTCACGAGAATCTTTTAACAGAATTTCATCATTCCTTTCCATTTTCTATAGTATATAGCAGAGTATGTCAAAGACATGTCCAAATACTGCAGGGCCTAAGTCTAACCGTCACTTGCACTTGCATAAAGGAGGAGGGACATGTACCACGAAAACAAGCTCAAATCCACATTTATGGAATTCATTGGTGTCAGGCCTGACCACTTCTAAGGAACTCAGCTGAAAGTGGGTAGCACGGACACCTCCAAAAAGTGCAAGAAACATTTTCATAAGCTTATTACACATTCAAGTTGTTACACAGCTTCCCATCTTCAGAGCTATCCCTTGATTTTTAAATCCACTCACTGTTGTAGCCACTGCAGCTGCTAGTCTCTGCCGGCGTCGTGTTGTGCTGAACTGGCCCTTCGGTGCTGGCCCTTCCTGACAGTGAATGCAAGAAGAGAAGGAAGTAGAAAAAGAGAAGGGAAGGGGTGATGGGACACAGGAAGATGAAAGGTGATCAGAAAAGGGAGAGGGAAAGTCTTTAAGTGGATTTCAATTTTGTTAACTCTTATGGCCTACACATTCTGAGGACATATCACATGTTTTCAGTTGTGTATGCCAGAGACATAAAAAAGCTAGATACTTCACTAAAATTATCTCCAGATGAGTTGGACTGCAGTGCACTTACTAAGACTACCAAAAAAAAAAAAAATTTATCAGCATTGCCATAAGGCAATTATGGCATAAGAAAACAAAAAGGATGCTATGGCATGGCAGAAAACACAAAAACCAAACTCCTTCTGGGGGTCACTTGACCATCTAGAAGATGAATTCTGAAAGACATCACTTTGCATTAGTGGAAGCACATGAACTGTGGTCATTGAAGATGCATGCATCTCAATGGTAAAACTTTTCAGTGTGTATGTTAGAGTGAGCTTGCTTATGTAAACATTCCTGTGCACAGCTCTAGCATTTCCATGTCCATCCTTGAGCCTATTTGTGCATTTTCTCCACACACCACTTTTTTGAGTTCCAACTACTTCTCCTGTACATTACTGAAGGCTTGGCTTCCAAAGCAATGCAAAAACTCGAATAAAGCAACACAAATGAAAACTAAGTATTCCAACAACTACTTCCTTTTCTGCATGCCTAACTTTTGGCATCATCCTGCTTAATTTCACTTTTATTTTACTTTTAAGAAAATTCATCATGGTACATTAAAGTCAAGCAAGTAATTGCCTAATGCAGAGGAGCTCCACACCTATCACGAAGTCCTTCTATTTAATGTCTAATCAAAATGTCATTATTTTGAAGCCATTTTAAGATTTTAGAAGACTAGAAAATCCACCTTTCTGCTTTTAGAAAACAATTTTCAAACCCTTTACATTTTTCTTCACCTATATCTTCACCAATAGCCACTTCAGTATTTTTAAATCTGTATACTTTTTCTGAAAGCAGCCTGGGCGCCATATAAATAACAAAGGTGTAGATTGGATACATGGACACCATGCTGAAGAACAGGATGTTGTAGTGCAATATTAGATAAAGTGTCTTGCTCCTGTAACACTCCTGCTAGTAGGGGTTGCTGCATCTGAGAATGACCGTACCCTCCACCCTCTGGCCGATACTAGTCGCAGTGTTACTGACAATGGAAGGATTGTCTAATGATCACAGAAAGAGAAGCCTTGCTTTGTAATATTTTGTAAAATTCTCACATTAAAAAACATGTACATAACCTCTAAAATATAGAGTACAAACTTTGTTAAAGCAGAGAACGCATCATATGCATAATGTAAAGCTCTTTGTGCTCTGCAGCAGTATGTCTATCCTGTGAATAGGAGTTTGGAAGAATATTCTTGTTTAACTAATAGGGACATAAATAAATATATATATGTACAGAGAAAGAGACATGCACAAATATATATTTGGCTGCCAGATTATGAATGCAGGTATGCATTATTAAAATGGGAACAATGAACTCTGCAGAACCACACACTCCCCTCAACACAAGAGAAAGTGAGGTCATAATCTGAGTTATGATATAAAGAAATACTGATTTAAGGGAAAAGGTAATAAGCCAGTCTGTGGGTCTGGTTTCATTTCTGAGCTGAAAGCCTCAGTAGAGCAAGCTGCCTTTTCAGGTTGCTCCATACTATATAGTTCTCTATTAAACTACTTTCCCTGGAAAACAAAACAAAACAAAAAACCCCAAACAAAAAACAGTCTTGGAACTTCACAGCTCTGAGCTCTTGAGGGAAATTAAATTGTTAGTTCATTTTATTGCTTTTCAGTAATATTTTTCTTCTTCTTTTGAAGATCTGTAGATTGTCATGAGAATGACAAATAGGTCTTTTACCCAATGGGAAAAAAAACAACCAAACCCTCAGGTTTTGTACAAAAGCATTATTTGTAAAATGAATGAATACAGGTCAACTAACCTGTTGTTGTGAGCCATTTTCATAAGACTTTAAATACACTTTAAAAACAAAATAAACCTCGTTCATAAAAGCAATCTTTCTTCAGAGAAGCAGTCCATGTATTACTCTTGAGTAAAGGCCTGTAAATTAAGCTGTTAATTCTAAACAATTTAGCAATACTAAACCCCCAAACCTGCAAACATATACACACATGCTATGCTCAATTTTACTTCGGGGAGTAACCCCATTCTAGTCACTGGGATTAGCTGTGTGAGCGAAGTTAACTGCATACAGAACTGGTATACCTAATAAGTACATACGTATTTCTAAGAAACAAAGCAAGCAGCTTTTCTTACAAGAAAAAGTGTTTTAAACACATTATACACCTAGCATTCACATTACAGAATGTGTTAGCAGGAATACAACAAAAGCTGTCTTATTAACAAAAATCTGGTAACAAGTATAATATAAAACCTGGATGGAAGAATTCTCTCCTTGCATCTTTCACAGCGGATGCTGAGCTAGCAAAAAATTACACTCTCATTCTCCATTACTCGTGAACAAGACACTTGCATACACAGCACTCTAATTTTTATGCTCCCCAGGAGGATGGCTCTCAACATCATACTATCAGAGGGTCTTTTGATGGTAGTTAATGACTGCTTATTCTAAAATAAATAGGTGCAAGTACTTCAAATGGAATTAATAATGCAACTAGCTTAAAGTTAGTATGTTAGAATTAGCATTATCCCCTAAAACTAACGAGATGTACAAAGGCATGGGGAAAGAAAAAGGACAACAGAAGTTTTCTTAGTACTAAATGTCAACTATTTAATAGCAAATCATGTATAGGCACCATGAAGAAATGATCACAAATTAGATAAAGTGGTTCTCAGTAGTGGGTGCCTGGATAAAAAGTTTATAAAGAGTTGAGTAGTCTTGAAAAAATGACCTATAAGGAAGGCCAATGAAGCTAGAAGGAATGGCTACAGAAGAACAAAATGTGACTGTAAGCTTAAGAAGCACCTAGGCATGGGAGGAAATCCACATTTTAGTGGAATGGCAACATGACCAAATTAGGAATAACACAATGAGTCAGAGTGAGGCCATCTTCCACGGATCACAGCTTTAGACCATTCACAGGACAGGACAGCCCTTGGAAGAGTAAACAATGCCTTGAGCCCATCAAACTAGGCAAGGTAACAGAGCAGCCAAAAAGACGTCTTCATCTTCCATATAATTTAGAATAATTTTATTGTTTCTGTTTCACTGCAAATTAATTTATAAATCAATCATCAATAACTTAATGCTTTGCTCTAACAAAATAAGCTTTACATTTCCAGCATTAAGCTTGCCAGGAGTTAATGCTGACTCAGGTTAGGCAGAGTCCATTACCAGCCCAGAAGTGACAGATCCATGTAGAGCAGTGCTATGCACACAAACTCTCTCAAGGGAACCTGCAAACCGACTGTATTTGAGAACTTCAGGAGCTGAGGCACAACTCCTGCCAAACCACAAACAGCAGTTTGAGAGTCAGGTGCCAAAATGACAAAAGACCAGACCAGTGTCACTTTGGCAAAGTGCAGACAACAAAGGAACAGCTCATAATTCCTCATGACCCACCCTAGATCATCATACATTGACTGCTTTCATCATTTTTTCATCATTTTTGTGGAGAGAAATTTCTCTGAGACCACTGCGGCATGGAAGAAGAACATGCAGTGTTGACTGTGTCTCTTCATAGACACCAAGTACTTGCATCCACTTTCCTGATATTTTTATTTGCCTATGTTATTCAGCAGCAGGGAAACACAGTGATCCTTCAAATGCAGGTAATAGGACATGACATCAATCACCAAAATTCCCTTGTTAATAAACCTTCTTAATCCTAACAGATGCTTCATTATTCAAACTATTGTGAGTTATCTAGTATAACAGGTAGAAAGAAAAATCACCTACTACAGCTGCAAAGAGAAGGCTGATGCAACTACAATTTCTTCTTAAGATTATTAATCTTAAATGAGTCACAGAGAGCTCCTTACTGTGCCTCTGAGTCACAGAGAATTCCTTGTTGTGCCTCTAGGGCACATATTAAAGGCTTTCAAAGTTTGCATGAATTCCAAGGAATTTAAATGGATCAAATTTGCTGACATTTATTTATTTTGTAGCAGACAGCACAGTGGTGATTGTTAGCTCCTGAAATCAGTTGAATATAGTCTTCATTATCAGTTGCTCAGTGATAAAAAAGATTAGGTTTTGGATTAGGCCTCAAAACATACAACTACTGACAAAACACAGTAAGACGCCCTGGATCTAGCAGTAATACAAGCGTGTTATGCTTATTTCTGTGCTTTTACTTTTCAGCTCTAAGCCAGGATGGGGTAAATTCTTTCTTCATGTAATGTATTCTTTGATTTATCCAGTTTGTTCCCATACTAGCCTTTTCCATAAGACAAGACATGTGAAAATACTTCTCATTGGCAACATTCATAGTATAGATCTTCACAAAGACAACTGGTGTCTTTAGTATTTCATTCATGTTTTCTGCTTTTAGCTTGATATCACCTGCTCAACTGCCCCTCTTGCCAAGTTTGAGATAGAACATGAGTATCCCCATGTGCTGCATGCATATTGCCTTGTTTGCACATTAATTGACTAGTATTCAGATCCCGCTCCTTTCCCTAGATGGCAATGTTTTCATATTCATGAAAGTAAAATCAACACTTTTCTCACTATTTTCTCTAGGTTTTAAACAACAAACTGAAATTTAATTTACTTCATCAGGAACATAAGAGACAGTAGATTGACTTCCTACTTTCAGCTAATATATCATTTCATGCTTAAAAGTTAATCTAAAAGTACAGCAAAAAGTAAAACATTGTGCATTCAGTACCTGAAGTTGAATTTTTGCATCTTTGCTGACACTTTTTGTTCTCCATCGTCTTGTGACCCGCTTGTCTTTCTTTGAAATATCTACACAGTTAGCCTACATTATACAAATAGTTAAAAGCGACAAAGTACTATTAAGTAGACACAAGCAACACAGACAGTACAGCAAGTTAGTAAAGAATTGCAGCGTTAGACATCTACAAATTAGAAAGTAAGGAGAAGGATGCCACTGCCAGGGCCCACAACTACAGCAGTGACCAGCCGTAGCTATCCATACACTTCTATAAACACGTGGTATATTTAGCTTATTTAGCAAAACTACTGGTATACTTTCTTCATGAGTGCACAATATTCAGGACCAGATCTTGAAATCTTCATGGATTTCTACTTTGGTACTACTCAGAGAAATGTAGACTTCACCTCTTCTTGAAATCAATGGTAAGTCTCGTTACCTCATTGGAACTAGACTTCGCAACACATGCACCACTGGAAGATTTGTGTATTTAAGGGGACTGATTGAAAAAGGAAAAAAGTATTTAGGATTTAGGATCTGCTGTTCCTTTCTTGTGGTCAAGAGGAAAACTCACCCTGAACTGTGAAACGGTCCAACCTTTGGGACCTTTGTACTATGCCCTCTTTTCTAGAGCATGCAACTTCATCTTTGAGGGTCTTTGGATGCCCACCCCTTAAAAAAAACTTAAAATAGTATCTTACTCTGCACAATAAAAACTCTTTACATATAATTTCAATGTATATGTGTATTTCTATTGTAACAGTTCTCAGTTTTGCTTTGCAGATGACTTGATCATTTGATTTGTCCTATTTAACTCAAATAATTAATACGTCTTAATTATTTGTTTACACATGAAACATTATTACATGTGATTAAGATAAACACATAGCATAAACCTTTCATCCAAGAGTTACTATGATTTCAGAAAATCATTAACAGACATCATCTCTATATTTCCCTTAACACAAAGAACAAATGTTTCAGTGTGATGATTTATGTTCAAGCATATTTACCTGCATGTCTGTGAAATTTGGTGCCGACTGAGTTCTCTGTAGTATTTCTAAATTTTGAAGAAGTTTACTGAGTTCCACAAGGTTCGACTGACAATGAGCAAGATCTAACAGATATAAAACAAAATTACATTAGGTGCTTCAATTTGGACTTTTTTTTTTTGCCATGATGTCCATCATTCACACTTTATTGAATTATAAAAGTTTAATGTCCAAATCCCTGCTTGTAAGGCATCTAAGTAAAAGCTTTATTTTTAGAGATGTTGAGCACTTGTTATTTCTATGGGAGTCAGCAACAAGTCTGGACCTCAAAAGTTGATCATATTTTAGCAATGATATCCATTAAGATAATACAGATTATTAAGATAAATTGTAAAAGCAATATCCCAAAACATGCAGAGAGGGAAATTCCTACCACAAGCATCTAACTACCTGAAGAGCTAATTCATGTTCATGTAAAGATGCAACTTAACCAGTTTACTGACTATTTCTTATTTTATATCAACAAGTTTTGCTGAAAGAACAAGGCATGAAAAGGTAAAGACTAACCTTCTGCACATCTGTCCATCTCTTCAGAGTCCTGCAACCAGGCTGCTACTTTACTCTGACCAGTAGTGCAGGTGGCAGGAAGGCTGTTACTGCAAGGTATAGGAGACTGCCAGGGGAAGCTATTTTGTTGCACCTAAGGCATAATAAAATGCTTAAATTTACTGTTGCTATGTTGCTTAGTCAGTGTAATCACCATACTACTTCAGAATAAGAAAACAAAATTGCACTGTGATTTCAGTGACATCTGTGATTTGACTATGTAGTTGCCCAAGATGCAGATTTTTCTGAACAGCATGTTGGAGAACCAAACCAAGAACCTCACAAGCAAACTGTGTTTGCTAACTACCAGTTAGAAAAGCTGTTGTTTAAGAACATTATCAAACAGTAAAGAAACAGATTTATCCCTGATGACAAAGGCAAGTGCAAATTGTTCTAGGGATGGTGAATTCTTTGCTAGATCTCTACAGCAGCCCATTGGTGAAGGCTGCAGTAAGGCTAAATTAGACAGTCTTTCAGCTGCACATACAGCTTTTTGCTGACCATTGATTCCCACAGTGGAAACTCCTCTCTATTGGCATTACAAGCAGAGACCACTGAAACTGCTCATGAGCAAGCCTGGCAGGCATGAGTTTTCAACAAAAGAACACTACATACCTTTCCATCCGACACATTAGCAGCTGGTGAAGATTCTGTAGTAGAGGCTGAAGGGAATATATGAAAGCTAGCATCTCTTGGAGATCTCACAATCTCATTCTGACGGTACAACCGGTGATGGCGTAATTTTGAAACCCATGCATCGAATGAATCCTGGGACTTCACCTGGAAACAAATTCACTATCAGGAAAGCATTAAAAAAACTACTTTTCTGCACGCCTTTTATAGTTTTATTTATTTCCACTGCGGGTGAAAAGAGAATAAGTATTTGCACCACTTTTTACCTTCAGATGATAGATGTGTTCTTCTGTGTCAAGATCTATTCTACGAGCCTTCTTTTTTATAGACATAACTGATAAACCAACATCAATGCTCCCATGGACTTTGCCTTTCTGTATCTAAAATCAAAAAGCAGGGTAAGAAAATGGCAGTATCATGCACTTCTTCACTATATTTAACAGAAGAATATCTGGTGCTGAAATGGTTTCCCATTTTATGAATTTTTTAATATAAAGCCATATTAAAAAATAAAACCTGTAGTCAGACTAACCACTTACTATATTTATAGACAGAGAAAAGTATCTCACAAGAAGTGCTCGGTACAGAGCCAACTCCAAAATTAAAGTGTGTTGTTTCACACCAATACACAGTTACAGGTGAGTGAGAATCAGAGAAAATTAGACAGTACTCGGCTCCCTGCTCCTACCACTTGATAGTTATTGGTATCAGATCTAACTAATTTAATGCTACCCTTTATATCTCTTGAGTACATTGTAATCACTTCTCTGCCCTTTCCACATGTCTCACAATAATCAGCTCTGACTGACATAAAAATTGAAAAGGAAAAACACATGGTCAGGCTAATCTCTCAAGCACCTTCATTAAATAAACTACTTTAAGTAATGTAGTTTTTATTTTCATAGAAGTAAGAAAAGGTAGAATTCTTGAGGACAAAACTCAACCAAAATCTTACATGCTTTCCATATACAGATCTCTCTTTGAAAACAACTTTCATGTGTGCGCTGTCATAAATAGGCCTAGAGTGAGTATGAGAGTTAATCACCCTGGCAGGCTGAATTCCAATACAAATTTTAAAATGGTCTTCAACTTTACTTACATCAATTGGTGACTTTGAATATTTCAACATTCCATTATCCAGGACAAAAAACCTCTGAAAGAAAAAAAAAAATTCTTTCTTAATGAGCAGATGCAATTTAAACTATGTACAATAATTCATCTGCAAAAGAAGACGATTACTCTGTAGCAATTAAGGAATATTGTGGGTTGGAAAGACAGAATAAATACAGTATTGAATAATTTTCTTGCTTGTTTTTTGAACAACAATTATCTTCTAGGCAAGAAAAAACAGATTCTCTTTTTTCAACATTCTGTGCTAGGTTTAACTTAACAAACCTCGATAATGAAGGGTATTTTTTCAGTTTTGGAGCCAATTCAATAAACTCTGTAAGACACTATATGTCTGTTTCTTCATTTTCTTCCCACATTTCAAGTTTACAACCTACCTTTCCTATCCAGAAACTGAAAAGTTTTTCCTAGTGCAAGATCTACATCCCAAAAGAAAGACCCACATAGGGATGTTGTTGTGGTCTCCTTGATCTCCAGGTGAGAAAAAAATGCAGGCTGCGAGACACTGCTCTATAATCCAAAATTTTGTGCCTCATGGCAGACCTCTATGCAGTGAGAGAAAGATGAGAGCGTAATTTGTGCTGATGATACCTTTTCTAGCTGTAATGTAGCTAATACAGGTATTAGTACAAGTGTAAATATTACAGCATTCCCAGCAACATACCCAGGTCATGGGAGCGCTTACGTTTTGGGTGTTACGTCATTGATACGGTGTGAGCCACTACATCTTCACTGACATAGTTACCAGGGCTAGGCTAACCTGGCAATCCCTATCTGTGCCATTGCTACACCTTTATTTTGCTGAGTGGCTCTTAAAACAGAGAGCAGAATTCAAAGTGTGTTTAAGTTGCCCTAGCTTGTGTGTACTAGACCACTCAATCTGCATTGCAGACAAGTTAGCACAGACTTTGGCACACAGCATAAAGACACAGCCTAAGAGGAAACCTAGACTTCAAATGAGATACACTAACTTGTGTTTACCACCACTAACTTTTAAAACATGCTAATTAATAGAAACTAGTTCATATTTTTAGAGTCTAACCTAAAGCACTAATCTATGTTAAAAATCTAGAACACAGCAAAATATTATGCTAGACTCTCTAAGCTATCTGACATAGAAAGGAAGGACCATGTTTTCATGATGTGAACCTGTTAAATCAACACTATAAGCATGATCAGTAGTTAGATGGAAGAAAATATCTCCTGAAGACGGTTCTGGAAATTATGTCAGTCAGGGCGAGAAAACTGTGCTTTCCTGAGACATAAATTCTTAAATAAGATGTCAAAACAACAGGAGGGCTTTTAGTTCTGGGTTGTTTTAAACTAGGTGTGGTCATTAACGGACTTCACAAGAACATCATATTCATTTCATATTGTTCTGCCTAAGTTCCACACACAAAAGAAAATGACCTTTCCTCATATTTCGTTCCAAAGCATACTGCACTTCAGAAAATAAGCTGCTCTCCAAGTTGTACACATTATACCTGGTATGCTGCTAAAGCATATTCAGAACCATCAGAATATGACATGCGACGTTCAATAGACAGAGGATGCTATGGCTCTGCTAGCAGAACACTAACATAGCACATGCTACAGTTACTGTCTCTGGAATTCCTCACTGGGCTCTCAGCACTAAGTATTGTTACGGAAACTGCAGGATATTGAGGCAGCAGTTAGAAAAAAAATCCAAACTTATTAACAAATCCACAGTTTCTAAACATAAGTTCAGCATAGATCCTTAGGTGAAACGCAAGGCAGAGTAGAGGGGAATACTGAACTGTGAAGCTTTTAATCACATTAAGAATTACTTACACAGGTAACTGTTCTGAAGTCAGCATGAAAAACAGATCATCAGTAGTGATCTCCTTTATAGAACTGTGAAAATTGGACTCCCCGTGCTCTCCTATAAAGTTCCTCACCAAAACAGACACTTGTCCAAGAAACAACACATTAACATAATGTATTTTAGAGGAGCGGAAGCAGCAGGTTATTCCATATATTCTTATATATCTGATTAATTGTTTGCGGTTGTTTGGTTTTGGGTTTTTTTTGGGGGGGGGGGGGTGTGGGGGTTTTGGTGTGCTTGTTTGTTTGTTTTTTTTAAAATAAGCTCTCCTTTTCTGTTCTTTCAGTGTTTCAGGTATGTCAGTTTGAAATCCTTTAATACCCCTAGACTAAATTCAAGTAGTCTATATGTATTTGGTTGCTGAAACTACAAACTTTACTTAAGTAAAACAAAACAAAAAAACTCTAAGGTAGATAGGCATGCACAAAAAAGGGTGGCAGGCATATGTACAAGCTAGTATAACATTCAGAAAGAATAGAGAAATTAGAAAAAAGTGTAATTTATACTAGTATGGACTGAATTGGGACTCAGACCTGAGTAAGTCCCACAGTGTTTAGCAAAAAAAGGTAATGCTTTCCCAGAAAAACCATCACATATAACAAATGGTTTCACTATCCTTTGCAGTAAAACACATTCTATCTTAGAAAATTATCCTGCTTCAAGTACCCTCAGCTACAAAAAGACAGGTAAGTGCCAATACCACACATTTTGTTGCTAAAAAAGGGGGGAAAATGTAATTACTATAGTATAAAATACAGACAAAAGAGTTTATGAACATGAGGTTTAGGGCTAACAAAAGTTAGAATTATGCATGGAAAAATGTCTCCAAATTAACTAAAGAGAAAAGAGATTTGGAGCTGAGTTTCAGGGTGGTTTGGTTTGGTTTTTTTAAATGGAGACATCTAATGGTGAAAGTGCAGAGTCCCACTGCATGCCCACACAGAAGATTGCAATCAAGAAGACAAACAAAATTCAGGGACAAAGCTGAGCAAATCTGCCCAGTCAGCATGCCTGAAGGGGAATGCTCTCCCATATGAACACCTCGGGTCCATGCAAAAGCCCCTCAGCTCTCCTCTGCTATCATGAAGTCCTGTGTACTTTAATGTAAAGTCAATGCAATCTTACAGTACACAGCTATATTTGGTTATAATATAGTGGAAAGAATAAAAGGGATATTGATTAAACCTCTTAAACCACAAGGCATCTGCTGATTATTTACAGCTTCTGCCTGGCTTTTGAATACATTAGGCAGCAGGCACTGCAATATGGAAGCCATGAGCTGTGTGTGCAAATTAATTCTTTACACAATTTGAAGAAAAAAAGTTATACACAAAAATCCTGGGCATTTATTTGACATCCTAACTTCCTCTAGACAAAAAATCCCAACTCACAAAATGAGGTAATAAACTTTTGACTGTTTCATGAGTCATTTACCTTATGCCAACCTTTTAAAGGCCATTTTCTCTTTTTCAGCATGAAACCTTCATGTTTGTCTGGCTTTTGGACATTGGTCTGGCCTATTTTCAGACCCTCTATGATTTCCCAGCTGTCAGGTTCCTGGTGAAAAAGTATGAAGACACACTGATTAATTAACTGTGCATACACATGATGAAAAATTGCACTTACATGTAGCACAAAGTCTCCAGTGCAAGACAAAGAGTAAAGGAGGGCTAGGCTTTTAAATCAGCCTATTTAGGTACCAAACTACATGGTCACTGTATTATGTCCAGCTGTATCTCATTTAAAACTACTGAAGATTAGTATTTTTGGAAGTCTAACCCTTACCAGGTAACTAAAAGGAAGCTGAAGCTTTTTAAAAAGTCTGGCACTGTAAATGAAGGACAATCTGAGGGTGGGCCTGGACATGCTGTTCACAACAGGCACTGCGTCCCAATGAAATAAATACATCCAAATACATGAAAACAGGATCAAATTGTGGCTGAGCTAAGTATAAGAGAGGTCAGACCTGCTACTGGCGGTAACAGTGTGAAAGTGCAGGTGGCTCTTCCCACCTGTTAAGTCTATCCAGAAGGCACCCCACAAATTAGCACTGCACTGTAAGAACTAAAAGGACTGAAGAGATCTTGCAATCTCTTGGGGTATGGGCAGAATCTGCATGTTAAAAATGTACCTTTACTCAGAGCATTCCTTATCTGAAAAAGAAGGGATCATGAGATTAAATGAGGAAGAAACCATACTGTTAAATATATGGGCATATATTAACAGTCCTCTTTGTGGTATTCCCTGATCATAAAACATAGTAAATTTTCTGATCTTTAAGGTGCAAGCTACATTGATTCTGGATACTCTAATTTTTCCTTAAAATTAGAAAAACAAGCAGAAGAGGTTGGTTTGTTGTTGGTTTTGAATGCAGCCAGCTCTTGTCTTCGAAGGCATTTTATGACAGTTTCACAGGCTAATTGTGCCTTTAGAAATCTGCAAAAGGAAATTAGTCTTTTTTAAATTTTTCTGCATTCATATTCACTGCATTAAGAGAAATTTATAGGAAAGCTAACTAATTTTCTCTCTAGAGGAAAGAATAGGAACTGTATCATTTCAGATACAACCAACTGTATGCCTTCCAGGGAGCCAATTAAAGCATATTTCTTGTACACACCACTTCTTAAGCATGACAACTTGTACAACTCAAGCCAGACTTATAATATACCATAGTGAATGCTTAAAGAACAATATTTTTAAGGAGAAAAAACAGAGTTATGCCTTTATTTCTGTCCTTTTGCTACTACTGTAATCAACAAAATTATGTACCAATTTAAAAATCTCCTATTGCCTGCTCATTAAGACTCTATTTTACTAATTGTATCCCACAAAGTTGTAAACTTGCATTTTCTCAGCTGATCTGTTGCAACTCCCAGCAATGTTATGAAAAGTTAGAGAGGGAGGAGGTCATACAGCATCAAACATTTAAAGGGGAAAAAAAATTGTCTCCTCCATTTCCCACAAAACTATTCAAAGCCGAGCATTGTCAGTCTTCCATAACACCTCCAATTAAGTTATACAGCCTTGATAATGTTAACATTACTATTATGAAAATACGATTTCAAAAGTAACAGCAAATTTCAAATCTACAATTTTCAATATGATCTTGTTATTTTGAGGAGGGTCGAAAGTTCTATCACAAATAGTATATACTGCAGTAAATTTTGATAGAAATGTTTACCCAGTTTAGTTTTCCCTGCATAACTGTGAACTGGAACTATGCCAGTGCCTGTAAATACCATGATCAAAACCCCGCTTTTTTACTTCCCTATGTTTTGCTTGGATATTCTATTTCCAATACTGTAGAGGGAAGCACACATACATTATTTTTTCCCTACAAAGAAGCACTTGGCACTTAAGAGGGGCAAATTAAACTGTGAGTCCCCTGGGGTGAGCAGAGAATCTCTCTCTGCAACTGTGCCAACTGATTCTTCACCATATTGATTTCTCCTTTAGAAGATCAGCTGCAGGCACAAGTCTTTTATCTACTAGATAACATCAGTATTGATTACTTCTCAACTAGAAATCACACAATCTCATATAGCTATTCATTGAGACAAAAGGCCCAATACAGAAGGACAAAATGAGCAATTATTCAGTGCAATGTGGATACCTGTCTTCTGCTGCACCAGTGCTACAAGCTGTTCCTAAAACCACCCTAACAATCCTAACTCATCCCACAGGTTTGGTGTGATAAGATATCCCCAATACAAGAGACATTATGCAAGAGCAGTCAGAAACAGGAAAACCAAAGTGAAAGCGATATGCTTGAAGGGTCCTCATACAATGCCAATTCTCAAGTCCAGCATTAGTACTTTAGGACTTCTGCAATTCCCTACATAATATGTGAGAAACAGCTCTGCGTGAAGCAGCAGAACCAGGGGAACACAAGCAGAACTTACAGTCCCTGAGTCTGCATATGCCCCAGGTATTGGGAGTAAGGGAGCCACTACCAACAGCTTTCTGAACCTACTATTTTTGTCTGCAAAGTATTTCTTTTCCAAATAAAACAGAACGAACCATTTCATTTTCCCCGGATGAACAGAATGTTTCCTTTTGAATTTGTTTTACCACTTCTGTTTCAGAACTTACAGACATTTAATTTCAGATTTTTCTTTTCCACCAAATATTCCATCACAGCATGCTCACCTTTTCAGTAACAATCTTACTTTTTCATATGAAGTATCTTAAAATGAAGCCTTCTTTACGTGGAATTAGACTTATTTGAAATCAGTGATTCCAAAACTGAGGAATTCAGCCAGCAAGAAATTGACTGCAAAGCACCACACACAAGGCTGCATCTTTCAGGAACTGGTGGTTACTCCTACAGTTCTATCCATTTCTCGGCCTCAGGACAGAAGGTCTCATCAAGAGATTTTAAGTTTCAAATTTTAAGAAACCACCCACAAGGGATGTCATTAGGACTTATATTTTAAATTAATATCATTATTGATTAGCAGCACTTTTGCACTTGGATATGATTTGCTCTACCTTAATAAGAGGATTAGACTGGATCATTTCTCAAAGTCGCTTCTAGCCCCATACTCTGAGATCGTAAAACTTGTTCCTGGGGGCCATCCATGGCCCCTCTGACACCTCAGCTGGGGAAGAGGAAGCTCCAGGGCAGGCTCACAATATACTCAGTGGTAGAATCATACAAAATATCCCAAAGCTGTTAGTGAAACTACTTTGTAACTACAGAGGGAAAGTCATCACCCAGATTACAGCCCATGCTTTTACTTACCTTGGAGAGAGAGACAGGGTCACTTTCAAGGAACTGCTTGCTTAAAGATGGGTCTGTGCTTCCCGAAGAAGCCTTGCGCTCCAAAATATGAACACTCTTAAAAAATAAAAAAGTAATTAAAGAGTACAACTTATCATTCAATGTTACTTTTAAAAATACATATTAAGTAATGAATGACAAATTACAATCCTTATATAAAGTATCAGCATCACGGCTCAAAATGTATGAAGTACTACCCATGCATAACATAACTGCACAAATAGTTTGTCTTCTGAGGCAATACACCTCTCTTTCTTTTTTTACTCTTCATTTTTAAACTAATTATTCTGTTCAGCCTAGAAATGACTGGGAACTAAAAAAAGCCAGGAAAGGCAAGTAATGCAGTTCTTACCTACAGAGATGCAAAGTGCTCCAAGCGAGCCTATTATGTTTTCTGCTAAGATACAAGATGCCGAGTATACATATCAAGCAGTTGGCACTATCCTACATTCATTCCTGAAGCAAACCATTGCACATAAGACATTACTGCCTCTAACATATTCATTATCACGCCTTAGCATTTTGTTATTGGCTTCTCAACCGAGGTGAAGTAACTCATTACATGAGTGCTTTTAATAGATTACAAGTGTTCATGAGATCAGTTACTGGGTCTCAGCTGACAGGCTTGCTGGTAAACATTTATGCAACATAATGATCTTAAACCATCACAGCTGTTTTCATGTGCAACAATACTATAAAATTTTATGTCTTCAAAGCATGGTCCAAAAATGAAATACATAATGTCATAACTAGTCTTGAAAAAATTGCTATTTTTTAAAGACATCTAAAAATGTCTTCCCATTTTCCAGAAATGTTTCACTCGTATTTTGTAAATGAAAAAGCATTTTTTCTACAGGAGAAAACAACCACATTCTGCCTGCTTGGATTTGCATTTCATTCTCTGGTGAAATTTTGCTACATAGCTCATATTATTATTTGGTAAGAATTGTACTACAACATGTCAGTAGTATCTTTTGGGCATGAAATAAAACTATTTCATTTCCAGGACATGTAGCACGTCAACAAACTCGCAATTGCAATTACCCTCTGAGAAGGGTAAGTTTTTCTCAACCGAAAACAACAATTAAATTTTGTTCACAATTAAGCTTCTTTACATTCACTGAAAAAGAGATTACGCAGGTACAAGTGACAGCAGAAACAATCAGGGAATATAAAAACACATACAAACAGCAGAGTAAATATTATTGTTTATACAGATAACTAAGTACATAAGGACCATAACCAAACTAAATGAAAATAAACACAGCTATTCATATAAATTCATATATAACACAGACTACGTCTTGCTGCAGAGCAACACACAGACCTTCATTGTTCTCTTTCAATTTGCAACCGTGAATGAGAAGGAAAATATGGGGATTGTCTCTGTTGTCAGTGGAGATTAATAAGCATCCCTGCCACTATGCAACAATAATCGGCATTTATTTTCAATTACTTTAAATTTAATTTTACAATGAAGAATGTGGAAAAGCACCAATATTATGTTACCTGCTACATTCCCCAGGGCCAACCAGCAAAAGCTTTGTCATCTATGCTTTGAAATCTGCTTTATTCAAAGAAAGCCAATCTTATTAATTAGCCCAATGTCTATTACTAGCCAGATGAGAAAAACGTTTGTATTTATGCAGCACAGGTTCCTACATTACATGTCAACTATTTTAATATGCTTGTTTGAGCTGAGCACCACAAAGTTACTAATGATAAACAATGATAAAGTTTTATCATCAAATAGATGAAATGCACACAGTATCACACTTAAACAACACAAAAGAAAGCCTAAATCTGTTCCTCCAAGGAAGATTAAAATGTCGCTTGATTAGCATAATCAGGACGATTCCCAACTTTCTTGCCAGTTTTGTTTGGCAGGCAGGAATCCCTCCATCTTGAGATGGAGCAATGCCCAACACAGATGTTCTGAAGGTCTCATATGTAGCAGCTGGTGCAGTTTGTTGTTACATAACTGCAATTTCATTTTGTACAATATTTAGAGTGAAGTAACCCGACAGCCCTTGGCTTGCCAGATTTCCAGTGACATTTTCAATCGCATGATTTTAAGGCAAGGGGGTTTTGTGCCTTTGTTTTTTGGGTTTTTTTTAATCAGCCCTCAGTCATTACAGTTCCACTTCAGTTGAGAAATACATTATTAGCTAACAGCACTTTAATGACTGCTGACTTATTCAACTATTTGTTTGGAAATAAGAAAATGAACACTTTTAAAATAAAATTTCCTTTTTTACATTCCTTACTTCTTCAAGAAGTGTTGTCTTGTTGTCTGTAAATGTCTGCTTTCCAATTCTTTTCTGTCATGACCACCATTACACTGACGCAAAATCATTTCTTTAGATTTGTGCCATGTCTCTAGTATAATATTACTTGGTGCAAAATGTTTTTCATTAATCATTTTATCTTTCTGCAAAACTACAGCTAGAAATTACACAATTATTTGATATTTTGAAAAGCAGCTATTTTTATAATGCAGAACTTTAGCTATTTAGCATCACAGAAATAAAAATTACTTAGATCTTGAAATTGTTATCAAGGTTTTTTTGCTTGAACAAGAAAAATAGAGTTAGTAAAGGAAGCAGTTAAAAAAAGCTGATGCGAAGAAAAGGAAGAAAGAGGCAGATCAATACAGCTTCTGGGTTTTCTTCATACAAACAGAAAAATGAATAATCTATTAATCTTGGCATATCAATCAGTCTGGCACTCTCAGTCCTCTCATCCCAAGAATACAGGCAGACAAAATCAACGCCTGCACTGCTCCGTTCTAGACAGCGCTCATGCTTCAGGACTACCTGTGCGCTACAGCTGGCTTGTCCTGGAGAAAAACGCCAGCACCATCAAATTCTGTGTGCTCTTGGAAATTAATTCAACAAGATTACAAGTTTAACTGAAATTCCTCTGTAATCCCATTGCTAAATCTTAGTCCTAACTACAATCTTTCCTTCAGCTTTGAGATTATTCACAACATACATTATATATGTGAGCACACATTTGCCCCAAAATGCCCCTAACAAGCCTACACGTGAGGAACACAAATGCTGATTCTGCCCTGCATTTTTTTCATGTTGCATACCAAAGACGTGAGGGAGAAGGAAGCTGATGGAGAGAATAACAATATGATGTTGTTTCATATTCTCATCTTCTCTGAAGAGCAAGAATGGAAAAAGTATTTTACAATATTTTTCTATATATCTTGCTAACTCTGTTTCTCAGCTACGAGTTCAGCGATCCATTCATTTCATCCACCAGAACAAACGCTAGCACATGCAGCATCTGGTCTCCATCAGGCCAGAGGCTGAAGACCCAAATGTTTCTTAACTGAATCTGATTTCCCATTAAAAGAAAAGACATTCAACCATTTTCAAAGGGAAGGCAAGGAAAGAAGATATTGGGTAAGTAGAGATAGGAAATCCAGTGAAGGACAAGTCTGGCACTCATGCCTTTCTTTCTGCTTCGCTGCTTAATTACTTAATGGAATTTAATTATATTTAATGCAATGAGTTCTCTCTAATTTATAATTTATTCATCTTCAAGAAGAAGACAAGCTGGTGAGGAATTTATCACTCACATTGGACTCAGAGTCTCTTTACTTCAGAAACATGCACAACATGTGGCTAACAGTTAATTAATGAAAAAAAATTGGTAGGTCATTTTGTTTGCTCGCAGCATTCAGCAGTCTTCAACACCCATAACCAAGGGGCCTAGCCATACATTGTTCTACAACAGTAATTTAAAACAGAGCTTTTCTCTCTGGGTTTTTTGTGTTGTTTTTTTTTTTTCAATCTGAAGGACCAACTAGCGCATCTTTTATTATCTGCTATTCATTGGCATTCTTTTCACAACCTAGCTACCCCTGCACAGACCTGTGTTCTTATTTGAATTCTGTTTAGTATGAAGTGCAATGCTTTATCACTTTCAACTAAAAACACAGTATTCCCCAGTCACCTGAAATACAGCAGCAGTAATAAGGTAGATACAGATTTGACTGCAGGCATACCAGTTTTTACTACTGTGATATATGCTGAGTTAATCTGCAATATTATTTGCAAATGGAATAACCTTGAAATTTGCTTTCATCTTAGGCTGCTTCTCAGTCAGCTCTAGCTTTCCTTCTGTTGATGTTAGAATAAAGACAGAGTCTTGAATATCACTGTGAGAGAAGGGTGAGTACAAAGCAAAACAACCACATCTCCATCAGTGTATTTCTCCCTTCTTTCTTCTAGCACATTTTTTTTTCTTCATATAAAGCAACCATGGTCCTATTCTCATCCTCAGTCTCTCCTATTGACACTGCTTCAAAGCTGTTTTCAACAATCTGGGCTATCAACCAACAGACAAAGGAACTTAACAATACTTTATGAATAGCACATGTAGTTAATCTTTTTTTTTTCCCCCTTCTTGTAGCACATGCTTGTCTTGTACAGAAATGTGCTTAAGAGCAACATTTTCTCTTTGTAACCTTTTTACTGCAAGACAACTATATCTAAGCAGCAGTTGTGTAGCATACTAGTAACACAGAGGTATGTTATGTCTCTACTTCTTTCCTGGGATATGCAAAATAAATACTTCCTGTGTTACAGAAACGTCAAGGATTTGTTAGCTCAGGAGGTGTCTGTCAGCCCTTTCTGGAACTCCAGCTTTGTATTGTATGTAGCACTTCACGTCAATGCTTTTACGCTCTGGAAGCAAAGAAGCCTTTGCTTTTCAAGGTACTTTTTGACAAACTCTGAAGACAAATAAGCTCTTGCTCCTCTGAAGAGCTTCTTGGAGGGAAGTATTAGCAAAACTGGATAAAACAGAAAAGAGCTATCATTGTAACAGCAATCTTCTCTTTGCCAGAGCGACGGTTTGGAATAACTACAAAGTCACAGTCTGGGCCTTTAATGACAATCTTCTCCTTTGACACTTTAGATTTTGACACGCTTATCTCAAAATAGAGCAAACAGATAAATTGACAATATCTGACAGAATTCAAATGTTTGCTAATGATACAAAGCTTTTTTATGAATATTGAATAATCGCAATTAAAAGGA